TTCAGGTTCGTTCTATATCAATATCAAGGCTAAGTCACCGGTGGGAGCCTCCATTTATTTATTTAGTGTGAAACTTTATAAGAACTCTTCGTTGCGGCTTATATTGCTGCTGGCCATCAGCGATTTTCTACACGCCCTAACGAGTATGAACTTTCTTGAGTAAATGTTCTTGTTCTGCTTCAAACTTCCTTGCAGCTCTTCCATATATTATCTACTTAACATTATCGTGGAGACCTCTTCACATGGATCTTGATCCTTACTTCGTGATGTTCTCCAGTATACCTCTGGTTATACAAATGAAAGTCAATCTAACATTAACTATTGCAATTGCATTCGAACGCAATCTGGTGAGATTAATGACGCAAAATTTCGCTCAAAATTTTTTTTGTACTTTTTTGAGGCTCTATTCTCACCATTTCTTTATCGCAAGCTGCTCTCTATTTATTTCGCAACATTTTCGCTATTTCTGGGATTCCTATTCGCTGCTTGTGATCTCATGCTTGAATTTGCTAGCTCACCTATTGTCAGAGTTCCCAACTGCCCTGCGTTAGGATGCTTCTTGCAAGATGATTTTCGTTTTTACTGGGGAACGAGTAGCATGGTGAATGAGCTGTTTTACTAGTTCTAAATAATAAGAGTTTCAATTTAGTTCATGGGAAGTTGCATTATTATACTGACAACAACGATTCTTGTAAAACTACGCCGCGTTGAAAAACGGTTAAGGGTTGCAAGAATATTTCTCGGTAAAGAGTCAAGTAGATTTAAGCAGGTAAGAGACATTCCTATTTGTTTATTGCTTAGCTAACAATGTATGTTGTAGGGAAATCGGATATCACTGGGAATTTTGATTATTTCCTTGCTTTTTGTTACGCTGCCAAGTGTGGCCGCTGGTTTCTTCAGAATAGCGGGATTTTCATTTTTTAAGACAGTGGGGCTTTTTTACATAGTTGGGCTATTATGTGCAGGTGAAATGGTCAAATCTATCTGCTTTATGTAAAATAAGATAAATTGTCTCAGGAACGTGCAACAGCTTGGCCTACCTTTCGCTGAACAGTGAGATGCGAGAGTTTGCCAAACGTTTGAGAAGAGAAGTTGAGCTGCGATTGCGTGGAGCCAGGATCTCAACTGTTAACTTTGCTTTAAAGTAGTGACATATCATAGACCAGTCACAGTCAGTTGCAAACTTGACATACAGAATTACGGTCACGATCATATATCTTAACATACTGGTTGTGCTTCCGTCTAAAGTAGATGGCATGCTGCTACGCAGTTTACGCATTTCTCCTGCCTTCTGAAGGATAAAAGATACCAATGGCTGGTCCGCTCTTCTCGATTTTCATAGCGCTTTCACAACTCTCCAACCACTTTTGTTTCCATTTTCTTTTAGCGTTTGCCGGCAAGTTAAGAGTGCGAAATATGGTTTTGATGGCATGTTTCACCTAGTTTTTCAGAACATCAAAATTGCATTAATCGCATTCTGCCATTACATAGTTTTACGTTTATTAGCCACAAACCCACCGTTAATGCCTTAGTCGGAGGAAAGAACTCTCAGTGTGTACTTTCATTGAAGGGCATCACAGACTGCAAATAACGTATAGCGGAGTAATTTTTCATGCGAAATCAAGTTATCTGTTTAAGTCCGGAGAATAATATGATGAATAAAAAGGTTATTCTGAAAAGGATTTTTATGAAGTCGTGGCATTT